ACACGGGGACACGACCTGGGGGACACGGGGACAGGGCCAGGGGGGGTCACGGGGACAGCCCGGGGGGACAGGACCCGGGGGGACACGGGGACACGGCCCGACCCCACAAGGTCCCCTCCCCATGTCCCCACAGATCGCGCTGCTCAAGGAGCAGGAGCTGCAGCGCCATCCCAGCGGGATTTAGGGAATTCCATCCAGCGGGATTTAAGGAATTCCATCCAGCGGGATTTAAGGAATTCCACCCAGCGGGATTTAAGGAATTCCACCCAGCGGGATTTAGGGAATTCCATCCTCTCAGGGCTGAGCCAGCCCCATCCCGGCCCGTTCTGTCTCCTCGTTCCCTTCCCTCCGGGAAAAAGCCGCACTTTTCCCACCAGCCGACAAAATTTGTCTGTTTTTTAAACAATTTTGGACCTCATGGATGGTTCACCCCATTTTCCTGCTGCGGTTTTAAACGGGAAAAAGAAAAAATAAATGGAAAATATTCCCTTTTTTTAGCCCCAGAAGACCCAACTGATTTATTCCACCCCATCTCAATTCCCCCTCTTTTTCTAACAAAAACCTCCCCGGATTTGTGCTTTTGAAGGATTTTTTTAGGAACTGGTTTTTATATGGGATTTTTGGGGATTTTTACTGGTGCTCCGAGGTTGGGAAAGGCACGGGAAGGGTGGCTCTGATCCCCCTCAGTCCCGGCGGGAATAAACGTGGAAAATCCAAATTGGGAGCTCTGAGGGATCTGTTTTTTGGGGAAGGTGGAATTTTGGGAATGCCAGATTTGGGCTGGGTTGAATTTGGTCCCTAAATAATAATGAATAATAAGAATAATATTAATAATAAACAGAAATCAGCAAAGAACTGCAGGAAATCCCCACGCCCTACAGCCCAGCCCATCCCCCTTCTATAGGGGACCCCAAAAACTGCGAGACCCCACCCCAAACCCTTTTTATAGGCTTGGGCAGCACCCCAAACCCACCCCAAAATCCACCCACAAATCCCATATAAAAACCAG